CCCCACAGCTGCAATAATTGTGAAGAGGGAGTCAAAACTGAAATGTCCATGTTCGAAACATCAGTCCACATTGCCATGACAGTGAAATGTACATTTGAGTGTTAGCATCCTTCATAGCATTTATCCTAGAACCTATACTTAATGAAAAAATTCAAACACACCTGCAGTTGAGCTCCTTTTGTATTGTTATTATTGATAGCTATTTTAATTCTACCAAACTGTTCATCTGATATCCTAAGCAGCACTAAACCATGTACTTCCATGTTATGTAAGCCACCATCTCGTCCAACTGTTAATGAGATCTTCTCCTCCACTCTTACATGGACACTGGCAAATGAGAAATACTCAAGTTAAACGAGGTTGACATTAACGGTATAAATGGCATTGACAAACTGGTGTAAGGTAACTGCTTAAAAGCTGATGAAAAACAACTTTGGAATTTAAAGGGCGCTGCATGTAACAGCCACATTGGAAAATGAGATGATCTTGATTGTTTAGGCCATGTGTTTAGGGTTCATTAAAAACTTTACATAGACTGCAATAACTTTAGCCTTGCTCACAAATGCTGATAAACACAGGATTAGATCGCTTATTACTTAATGTGTTCTGTTCATACATGTACATTGCAGTGGCTTGACATTCATACATGTACATTGCAGTGGCTTGACATTCATACCTATTCAGTCTTTATTCACCTGACATAGAGGACACTGTATTTAATCCTGAGACTTTGTTCATACAGGGTCGAGACCAGCCCTCCGGCGCTAAACTAAATTAAATCAAGATTAAGTCAAATATGTTTTTCAAAAGTAGGTTAAAATTAATTCCTGGTCAAATCCTACATTTTGCATTAAGTGTTGAACACCATATTTGTATTCTTAGTAATCAATACATCAAAATGATTGTACAAATATAATCCAGCTTCATAATAATTTTCACAGAATTCGAAAAAAATATTCACCTTTCTGTGTTACTGACAGGAGTAGTTGTTTTCACCACATTGGCGGACTGTCTGGATTTATTAGGACTGATAACATCTTCACCTTCTGTTCGTAGTTTATCAACAAAACTATCCACATCTTTGCTTCGACTTCCAAGCTTCATAGCCCGACCTGATCCAATTGGTCTAAAACAAAATAAATATTTAGTATTTAATTTCAAATTACGATAAAGTCCATACAAAGATTTAAGTGGAAGCTAAACACATTTTAGTTGAAGTTTCTCAATTTCAGGTTTCTGGGTGTTATCTCAGGAAATCACTGTAACGCAGATGAGACAAACACAGCAATATAAAACAAAGCACTGTGGCAGTATCACCACACTGTATCTTTAGAAGAACACAGGATATTAGCTTAAGGCAACCTTTAGAACAAATACAGCACTTTAATATGAGGGGAGTATCACCTGCATATACGACAGACAGCCCTATTGTGTCATTGTTTACAAACGTCCACCCATGATCCATGCTTTTAGTATGCGTTTTTATTGTTGCTTGGGAATCACTTACTGGGACATTTTAACTAGTTACATTTAAAATTTAATGCTTACCCTAAACATTTTTTGGTCAAACATGAAAAAATGGTACAAAATCACACACAAGACATAAATTGGACAGACTATTACCCAGAATTTTCAATAAACTTGAAAGATTTTAATGCAAACGAACATGGACGACCAGATAATTTGAACCACAGAGTATAACATGATAGTTAAATGGATACAAACACAGATGTTTGGATTCAATGTAATATTCAGACGACACAAACAGACACTTTTATCACTAATAACGGCAACACAGAAGAATCTTCTTTGGGATTAACAATACAATACAGACACCATCATGTAATCTGTAACAGCCCTGCAATGACACCATGCTGTGACAATATGTTGTATTGGATTCAAACATTTCATGTAATGTTATAGTTTGTAAAACTAATACAACTGTAATGAATGCAATTGTTGATTCTAGAATTACTGGATTATTTCTATCTCTATATTGCCAGTATAAACTCTGTATTTGCTCTATTAAGAGTGCATTTCGAATATAATTGCATGTGAATCATAACGATTTTAGAAGCCAATAAATTATGAAAATCAGCAAAATAATTAGGTGGTTGAATTTTTACAGTAGGCAAAATTGTTTATGATAATTCTTTTGACCATAAACACAACACTGAGATTTATGCCAGCATATGCGCTACTAAAAGAGCACACACAATAATCTAAAACATATTTGTAAAATAAATGTATTTGTAAATGTGGGATATCTGATCTGGTTTGAATTATGGCATGTCATCACTTGAAAATAGTTATTTTCGAAATAGGGACTACTACATTTGTGGGTTCCTAAGTGTCTTGATACAACTCTAATTGTGGTGTGAAACCTATAAGCCAAAACTCAAATTAAGAATTCATTGATTGCTAGCCCAGTGAGAAAACTGTTGAATCATGATATTTTATAACTGAAACACAAATCAACTTACTTGGTAGGAATGGATGATGCCTTATGTATCTCACTATGAGAGGCAGAATCACCAATCATAGGTATGGCCATATCTGAACTTTTACTTGAACTTCCAAATCCTGAAAACCCTGATGATCGAATTTTACCCATCTTTTCAGCTTCTCGTCTGCGTTGTTGTAATTCTTTGGCTTTTCGCCTCATCTCGATATTAGCCTCCCTTTCTTGTGTCTGAAATATGTAAAAAAAGTTATGAGTTGTTATGACATTACCCTCTTCACCGATGTAGCAAAATATAAAAATAGAAGCAGACAATAGGTAATACAGACAGATAAAAATGACACAAAGTAACAATAGTGAGTTGTCCAAAACTCTGATTATGTAAATTCATGGATATAAAACAATGACTAATATAGCCTTTAGTTTTCAGAGTTTTCCTTCAAACAAGATAGTGCCCAGGCTATTATTCTGTTTCAACACTACTACTACATACTTGGATTATGAAAGAAGAAAATTTAAATATTTTGTAAAAATTCTAGTTTATTTTAAAATGGAAAAAAAAGTTGATGCTAAGGGAAAATTACTTTACCTGTCTGACAGCTTGGAAAACCTTCTCTTCATGCGAGTCCATCTCTGTAAATGTTCGTATTTGTGCTAAATTGACATTCTCTCGGTAGCCAAGTGCTACAATCTCATCAAAGGCAAAGATTAGTTCAAATGAGTGGTCCAAGATTTCACACTCTTCCATCAAACGGCAGTATTCAGGAATCTGAAATACACATTTGGAACAGGAGGGTCAATTTAACCTTTTTACCACCAGTTCCCTCTTTTTATCACAAAATCGTCCAGTTTATAGCCTGCAGAAGATTGGGACAAAAATCTTTTGAGTAAAAACTGAAAATTGCCTCAAATTTTGTCTGTTGACTCTAAAATTGGGGTTCATTTTCACAAATATTGAAAAATATTAGACAAAAATGCCAAAAAATGTAATGATCAAGTCTTGCGATGAAAAGGTTAAGAACAAATAAATGAACATAATAAAGGGGTATCTTACCTAAACCCATTCTTTACAAGGTCTGGCAGAAACTTATAATACAAAAAAAACTACTAGATCATCTTTTTTTTGAGTAAATAAAAGTGTGCCTTCCAAGCCAATATGACGACGCTCCACTGACGCACAAAGATTTGCTGTGATACAACTAGTTGTGCTAATTCCCTGGCGCTTCATTGACGCAGTAAATTGTATATTGATATAATAATAACTTCATAGAAGACAGGGGCCACAACATTTTTTAATGGGGCTTAAGTAACATACAATTTTTCTTAATGGGGCTTAAGTCATACAGTAACATACAATTTTTCTTAATGGGGCTTAAGTCATACAGTAACATACAATTTTTTTTAATGGGGCTTAAGTCATACAGTAACATACAATTTTTTTTAATGGGGCTTAAGTCATACAGTAACATACAATTTTTTTTAATGGGGCTTAAGTCATACAGTAACATACAATTTTTTTTAATGGGGCTTAAGTCATACAGTAACATACAATTTTTTTTAATGGGGCTTAAGTCATACAGTAACATACAATTTTTTTTAATGGGGCTTAAGTCATACAGTAACATACAATTTTTTTTCTTCTTGAGGACTGACCTCCTTAACAGTCAAAAAGCTGATTTGGGAAATTCTATTTTGACAAAATCAGTCCTGTTAGAGGACATACTGGTAAATAAACAGTACCGTTAAAATCCTATTATAAACCGCATACCTAATAGTAACCGCACCCCAGATTTCGGCTTCAGTGTTAAAGAGTTCTCAACAAAAATTGAAAACATGAAAAGTACCTATTTACTAACCGCACCCCCAATTCAACAAGACCGTGACTGACTTTGTTTCAACCAGCTGGTACATTGTTCCTAATCCTATTCAAGTTTTCGACAAAGAGCTGTTATCACCGAAAAACTGTTAAATGCTTTTTTAATGCTCAGTTTATCTTTCGAAAACAACTAATTTCTTAATTTAAAAAAAAAAGTCACGTCGTTTTTCCATGGAAATCAAAGCCAAAAGATCGCACGACATTATCGGTAAATCTCTTCCGGGTTTCGTTCACCATGAAGTCGGTGACCTGTCATTAACATATTTAAATGAACCAAGGTAATTTGAACACGTGGGCACCATCCAGCATTTTGATTGGTTAATTAGCGACTTGACCTATTTGGTCAAGTAACGTCTCGTGTGCATTTAAACTACATGGCGGATGTCTTATTGCATCGATCGTTTACATGTGACCGAAATAATTCGCTTACGGTGAAATTAAGTTGAATTTTACTTGTATTTGATAACAATTCAACGAATTTATTTTTCGTGCGTTATTATAATCACTACTGAGTAATAATCAACAATTTCAACACTTCGAAAACAAGTAAGTTATTCACTTATGAGCCGAAGCATGGCCGGATTGCGTTACCGTACCCACGGTACCGTACTTTTGCTTATTTTTATTTGAAACTCCTGTCAGAATATAATTTCCGTTACGAAGAAAATTAAACAAATAAATGCATATTACACTAAAAATACAGAGTATTTTTTTTTTTCATGTGAACAGTTTTTTTGTGACGTGACGCTTATCACTCTTCCCTGACATCTAAATTGGAGTTACGCTTATATTCAAAAGATGTACGGTGTATTGTTTGTTTTTTGCAAGTGATGTGGGAAAAAATGACCATGCCCATTTAGTGATTGCAATATGTATGTAATAGAAACCGTACCCCGAACTTGAGCTGTTGATCCCAATTTTTTATCAGGGTTCTCCCCAGAAAAAATGCATAGCGCCGGGGCTAATTTGCATAATAATTTGCATATTATTTACATATCTTTCCTTCATTGATTAACAGAACTTATTTACAATTATGAATATTAGTGAGCTCAGTCACAGGGCAAATATTTTTTTTAATGGAATCAACACATTATGTTTCACAATTTAGAAGAGTTTGAAACATTCTCGAAATACAAATGCTACAGACTAAAAACAAACACAAATACATTATTGTTACAATTTAATTGTTTTGTAAAACGTTGAAGAAAACGCATTCAAAACGTTAAGCCAGATTTATGTTCACGAATCTCATAATTTT